AGCAACTTCACGCTTTGCCTTATTGCCTTGGATGGCAATGGTTGCCTGACCAATTCACATGGAATCGCCTCGCCCCGAGTCACAGAAGCAAAACTGACAGACCAAGGAAATCCAAAACATGTCCTCCTGGACAGGTTTAGTTGCACGTCATCAGCCATGCGTATGAGTAGAACTCCCCAAACCGTGGAGGGACTAGAGTGATCGCCTAGCAATCTGATATGCAGGCTGAGCAAATGATTCAGCCGCGCCTCCATGCCGTTCTTCACGCGGAACAGGTCTTGAACCTGCGGCCAGGGAAGTCCAACTCTGTGCTCCAACCAAAATCAAAGCAAGCAAGCACTCAAGCAAGAAAAGACGAGGCGAGACAGCAAGCAACAGCAAGGCCCAGCACAACGCAACACAACACAATACACACCAGAACAGCAAAGCATACACTACCTGGCCAGAGCAAATGCCATTGCACACGCACACAAGAAACGGAACCACTCATAGTACACATGCGCACGCTTGTAGATTATAAAATCAGTGCGTCTGCTGGCATCTCTGATGCTGTGAGCAAGAAATCGAAAAGAATGGAAGGAAGAAACCCAAGGCAGAAAAGCAAGTGCCAACCAAATGAAATGTAGGATCATCACCATGCGCCGCACTAAGCGGCGCATGTTTTCAGGACAGCCTCTTGGCCGTCACTGTTGAGTTCACCCTGCCGCTTTAGAAGAAAATCGAAGGCAGCGCCACTGGATATGCGCCAAAATGGGGGTGGGACCGCCAAAGTTGTGGCTTCTTCCCTTTTGGTGTCCCTTTAAACATACCTGACAAGGGTACGAACTCCAAAAAACGAGCCACACCCAAATCAGTTGCTGGGTTCAATGAGCGGCCCACGTGCCTGTCGCGCCATTGCCGGAAGGAAGGAGTTGGCATCCGCATAGACGCCTAAACACAAACGTGTTGACCGAGACCGTGCGCGCAGTCTGTACATTCACACGAGTGATGTAAGAGGGGGCACCTATTTTTGAATTCTTTGTCAGGGGAGTCCACACCCTCAAACATCCAGCGCACCTCAAAATCCTGTGGAATCTGCACAGCACCCAGGGTTGGTCTCCCAATGCGGGAAACCCCGCAAAGATTTGGCTGGCTTCCTCTTCTCCCCGGAAACCAACCCCCCAAAAAAGGTGCCACACCCAGGGCCAAGCTTCCCCGCCTCGATCCAAGAGCCCGGCCTGCAGGGCATGTGCTCAAATGCCGGTGACAAATGCATACCCGAATAGACCGGGCCCCTACAAGTGACGGATGTTTCTTGAGTTATGCAAAGAGCCCCTATGTCTTAACCCTATGGAGGAGGGTGTCAAAATGAATTAGACCCCTCCGGGTGGTCGGGTCCGTTTCCTTGTGAGACCGTTCCCAATAGGGTGATGGATGGGGTATGTGTTCACCAACCCCGTTCTGACCTTGGTCTAGCCGTCTGAAGGTAGGAACCCACAAATGAACCCAGGTATGAACCTCCAGTTTAGCAATGTACTTGGCTGACCGTGAGTTCCGACTCAATTCTGTAAATCTTCCTTCCCCCCCCCCGCCCCCCCCCCTCCAAAAAAAGAAAGAAAACAAAAGACAAGCACAAGACACCATATGCTCATCTACGGGCCCTTTTCCTTCAGCCTTCGAAACCGGCTCCGGTCACGTCGCAGCCCATCGGCCTCGCGTGGCCGGTCCTCTGACTCGGAATCCGAGGAGCTGAGGTGCGTCACCTCCTCCGCGGCGCAAGCAGCGTGGCTCTGAAGCCAAGGGGACGTCACTCTCTATCCAGAGCCTTTGTTTCACTTCAGACCCACATGGCTGTGTCTAAACAAAAGAACCAAAAGAGGTGTAACGAGCCTGCAAATGGAGTTACGTCTGTGCACTTGAAAATCCAACCAAAGCAGGCTCCCGAGAATTGGTAGGGATGCTTCCTACTTGTGTGATATCTTTTGGCTTTCCCTGATGAAGGCTGTTTCCATATCAGAAGTGGGGCATTGCCACAGCACAAAAACATGCGCACACGAACCGCTCCCTGTGCAAGCCGCCTATTCCGCAAACCAAAAGCAGATCTATGCGTTTAAAGGAGAAAGCGCTGTTGCGCTCCAGTTGCTGGGCGACAAATTGGCAAGAAACCGCAGGTGCGGGAGGGCTCCTAAAATGGTCGGTTTCGGTCAGGAAGGTGGCAACGCAACTCGCTCAAAGCATGCGCAAATACCAAGGTATGTGTCGCAATAGGGGCCCCAAACATGTGGGTCATTTTGTTTCCCTGCTCCATCCCAAATAGGGCACCCTTAAAAAGCAACACCCACCAAGCCCCGGAATTCCGTCTCCTCGATGCCGGGGAAGTGCTTCGGCGCTTGAAATTTGCCTGAAAAGGTTTTCAGGGGATGGCATACCTCACCACGTGGACAAGTCGCAAATGAGAGGGGCCTGTCCAGCAACACCACTACCATCGGTGCTGGCCATCATCACATGATATCACATCCACTGGCGACAGCAAAAAGAGCGCCTCGCCGAAATTGCGTGCGCTATCCCTTGGCAAATCGAGTTCCAAGAGGCACATCAATTCTGTGCATGGCGATACGCAAAGGCAAAAACCTTATGACCATTCTGGTTGATGGTGGATTCGGAAATGAAGTCGGAATGGCTTGGCCCAAAGGGCGACCCTCAAACTTGCATTTTTCACATATGACAGTAAGCCACAACCTCGCTTCAACCATGAAAGCCCTCATAGTAAGTCCTTAGTCCCACCTTGCCAAGGAAACATGTTTATGAGCATGATTCCAATTTGAAGATACTGGACATTTTGTTTGGAAAACCAAAGCCCATCTGTCTGTACCTCTTTGGTATGCTCAGCAACCCACAAAGGACTTTGCTCCTCAAAGACCGGTATCTGCTTTGAGAGTACACGTTTAGGAGATTCAAACGGAGAGGTGAACCACACATGGAACCCCGCATTTTGGGACAAACGAGCATATTCTCAGCTGTTGCTTATTTTGTTTTTGCTGTGGACGCCTTCCCCCAGACGAGTTCCGGGCCTTCTCCGACCTTCTTGTCGCCCTCCTCATTTGCGTCCTCTCGTGGAGAATGCTTTCTTTTGGAGAAGGGATAACATAAGGAACAAATACAACACATCCAGGATTCAAGCCGGGCATGAGGTGACCCGGTGCGTGCTTGATCAGGTTGCAATGGCTTCGCGTATTGATGATGCCTAGATCGCTCAACTCCCGCGCAACTCCAGCTGGCCGACGGCCGAATTGGGTCCCCGGACCACGCTGAGCAAGCGGGACGTGGTTCGGGCCAGACTCATCTCCTTGCACTGGAGAGCTGCTCAAGCTAGCTTCTTGTCGAAACAGCTGCCACAAAACGAATGGCGACTAGAAAAGCGCATCTGGCCCTCATAAGTCCATAGCTGCCTGTTTGCCCTTTTCGCAGGGGCCAAAGAGTTCTTTGATTTTCGCCAACCTCGAGTGGGCGAGTGCCCCTTTTGCCAACAGCTCTGAACGCGTGCCCTGACGGCCGGTCGCAGATATCTCATCCAGCAGTTCGGTGCCTCCAATGACCCACAAATGTCAGCTGCCCGGTTCGCTGCTTAAAGCTGACAATCTTCATCGGGGCCAACATGCGCAACTCCTGGCATCTTTACGACCTCTACTGCGCAAATGATGATCCCCCTATCTCTAAACAACCAGAACGGATCGGTAATTCAATGTACATTGACTGGTGGGTATCAACCGGGGGGGCGGGTTCAAACTGTGTTTCGCCATGTCAGCCTCAGGACGGCTGCATTTTAAAAAGCCTTGCTCTCAAGCCCTGGAGCCGGGTCAGCCTAGCAGCCTTGCTTCAAACCATGACCTTTCCACTGGTTGCAGGGAAAAAACAACTCCGAAACGAGTTTGGAGCAGCCTTCACGTTCACTTTCGAGGCCCATAAGCTTCAGCCCCAAAGCCAGCCCCAGAGCTCCTTCTCCGGCTGCGAGCTCTGAGATTTGCCCCTCGGGGCCGCAAATAAGGAGCTAAAATCGAGCACGGCTGTTTGATTGGGAGCAGGAAACCTTGGGCTATGTCTTTGTTTGATGGGAACACCTGACCATAAATGGTTGGACAAATAAATCTTGATGTGTTCCTGATGTCCACCAAATTGCCCCCAATCAAGTCCATACCCATCTGTTTGAGGTCCCAGGTTTGGACCCATACCCAAACCCATGCAACAGAACTCAAGCGTGTGTGTATATATATATATATATATGGTAGAGGTCTGGCACGCCCCCCCCCACCCCCCCCCCATGGTCATGGTAGCCTTAAATAGGACCCCACCCCCTCCCCCCCCTGTGGTCCCGCTGGTTTTGCAGGTTATGGCGCTGGTTTTGCAGGTTATGGTCATCTTGCAAAAGGCCTCTCCCCCCCCCCTGTGGGCCCGCTGGTGGGTTGCGGTTAGGGCCAAGGCTTCGAGTCGTACCCCGGTCGGCGACCCCCTGCGAGCCCGCTGGTTTTGCAGGTTCTGGTCATCTTGCAAAAGGCCTCCCCCCCCCCCCTGCGGGCCTTCCGGTTAGGGTCAAGGCTTCGAGAGTCGTACCCCGGTCGGCGAGCGGCCCCCCCCCCCAAGTGGGGGGGGGGATACCATTGGGGGGGGTGGCCGACCGGAACCATATCTATAATATATATATATATTTATATATTTATATTTATGTATATATATATATATACACCTGTATGTGTATATATATATATGTACATATGTATATATGTATGTATATGTATGATCATACGCACACACACACACAAAACACAACACAACACAACACACAACACAACACACAACCCAACACACAACACAACACACAACACAACACACAACACAACACACAACACAACACACAACACAACACACAACACAACACACAACACAACACACAACACAACACACAACACAACACACAACACAACACACAACACAACACACAACACAACACACAACACAACACACAACACAACACACAACACAACACACAACACAACACACAACACAACACACAACACAACACACAACACAACACACAACACAACACACAACACACACAACGCACACAACACACACACAACACACACAACACACACAACACACAACCCACACACGCACGCACGCACGCACGCACGCACGCACGCACGCACGCACGCACGCATGCACGCACGCACGCACGCACCCACCCACACCCACACGCACCCACCCACCCACCCACCCACCCACCTACCCACCCACCCACCCACGCACCCACGCACGCACGCACGCACGCACGCACGCACGCACCCACACACACCCCACCCACCCACCCACCCACCCACCCACACGCACGCACGCCCGCACGCACGCACGCACGCACGCGCGCGCACACACACACACTCAACACACCTGGCCAGGTTTTCTCGGCCCTGTTCAGAGGTTCTTCACGGGAGGACGGCACGTGTCCAGTAGTCCCTGAGAGAAACGGAGGACGTTTTGTCCGCTTGCGTTCCAAGTTTCGCCCCAGCATTCCCAAGAGAAAGCTGGGTTTGCCACGGTCTTTTGGCACCGATGCTGGGCCCGCGGCCGCCCTTGGAAGAAATCCGGCTCCTGGCTTTGGCCACCAGGTCGGGCATGCCATGGTCACACTCGCACAGGGGCTGGCCATGGCTTCAGAAACCTCCTTGCCTTCGCTTGATCAATTGCCTTATCCACATGTCATGGTTGGCCCGAAACCCTCACCATTCAACCCATGAACGAAGTGCCAAGAGCGACAGCTCAGCCCGATGACGGCGAGCCCCGGCATTTTCCCATTTGCCTGCGCGGCAGCCTTCTGCTGCTTCAGCGAGGCCTGGGCGGATTCCGAGGATGCGGGCGAAGTACTGGCGCCGGGTCCGTTGTGTACGTCACGCCAAAACATCAACCAGGAAACTCTTTGCGAAAATCCACGAAAGGTGATGCTTACATTACCCAAGGGGAAGCATGAGGACCCTTGTGGCATAAACTGGAGGTACAGGCAGCTGCACTTTGAGCCTTCTTTGGCCTTCTGGGGTATCCACCAGGTGTCTTCAATCCCCGCAACCCAGCTCCCAGCTCGGAGCACCAAAAACGCCCCGCTGAAGCTGACGCCCTGAAGCTCTTCCGGATTTTCACCACGGGTATAAGGCAGCCTAAAGGCTGGTTGCTCTCAAAGGAAAACAGGTGTCACCCAAACACCTGCAAAAGCTCGGAAAACCACAAATGAGGTTCCACTTTCAAAGCAGTCCCATGCGTCCAAGCCAACATTCGTACAAGCCAAGGGTTTACTTGTTAGGCTACTCTACTGCAGAGAAACATGGAAACCACAGACCCAACAATCATGGACGGGCGGCTCTTTATGAGATAGAAGCCTTACAAAAACCTCCTCGGTAGTCTCATAATTGTTCGATTGTTCTCAACGTCCCCTGCAAATGAGGGTAGCGTCTCACTTGCCCAAAGGACTCAGACATAAAAGGTTATTAGCCTTTCGCGGCCATGACTGAACATGGCCCGAAACTGGGAAACCGCAAGGCCGAAAAATGGGAATTCTTTGCCTGGGCTTCCGAGACAATTGTATTTTTTGTCAAACCCACCCCTTTCGGAGGAACCGAACTGGTCGGTTCCCGACAAAAAGCCGGCAATTCCCCCTCTGACAAAACGCGGGTCGATCTCCAACCATGTCAGGTGGGCATGGAAAGTGTGTCAAACTCGGCGGACAAATTGTGGCAGTCCTTTTTGGTTTCCCTTTGAACCTCGAAGAATGGCACCCCGGGGCCACATCCCATGGACCGCTTCACGGCTCGCCGCTCGCGGCTGGCTCGGGCCCGCGCCAGGTGCTCCCGCAGCAGGCGGTTCTCCGCGCTCAGCCGGAAGAGCTCTGGGTGGCTCTCCAGCTGGCGCCTTTCTCTCCGGGCGATGAGTTAGGGACCCGAAAACTGACACAGTCAGATGGGAAGGGGTCTAGCTCCATTCCCCAAAATGGTCAGGGAAGTGGCCGGCGTCCTTTTGGTTTGCCTGTGAAACCAAAAACGGGGTCCCCAAGTTTGCGACAGATTGTGTACTGCCTGAATATGGGGCAGCTGAAAAAACCAAGTCAGGCGACCATAGCAAAACATCCAACTTGGGTTCCATGAGTGGGGCCACGGGTTGTTGCGGAAATCAGAGAACTGGGATATCCATTCAACCAGCCGGAGCCTTCGAACGCAACCCGAAGCGCAACCGAAAAGCGCAACCCGAAGCCAGTGGGCTTTGCAACCAGAACAAGGGTTGCCAAAAGAAACCGTTGGATCTCCGAAAGTCAATTGCAATGCTGGGTTGGAAGAGCCTACTCGAAACGATGAGGCACCACTGCTGGACACTGGCATGGACAAAAAACATCCGCTGCCGCTGGGCATGCAAACAGTCAGTCCGCTACACCCTCGCAAATGCAATTGGCAGTGACTGCCCGACAAGTAAATAAATGTCAAACTCGGGATTCATGTTAAAAGGAAATGCCAACCAGCCATTTGGAAAGGTGTTGGACTCATTGCCAAGCGCAGAACGGCCACTGGCAAGTGAAAGGCGCTCCAAAAGGAGAAATACCGCTGGACGCAAAATCCCAACTCTGGGCGCCGGCACCGGAGCAGCCTGGGTCGCCGAGTCGCCGAGTCGCCGTGTCTTAATCAGATTCGCCTGTCTTCGTTCTAGTGACCCTCCGCAAGCTTCAGGTTTAGAATTTGTGGCAACAGTCTTCTTACACTTGGGACCTTAGCACTGCGGTTGCACGATGCCGCGAGGTTCACCAGCCAACGCCAAAGAAACGCAAGGCGCGCGCCTCTTGGAGCCTGGGCCCTTCTGTGTTTGCTTCAAGGCGGGCTTAAGTTCGATTTAGGCGTTAATTCGCGCCTGGTTACGGGGTCGCACAAGGCTCTAAACACATTGGCCGTTTCCCAAAAGAGTCGAAGGTGCCCTTTTTCATAGGTTGGTTTCTTCTCGGCTTCCCTTCAACCATCCAAAGCCCATGGGAAGCAAATGGGGGGGAGGGGGGGGGGTGTTGATTCATATATATATATATATATGTTTACATGTGTATATATATATATATATATGTAAACAGATACATCTATTACATGTATATATATATATATATATATCATATTTTACATGTGTATATATATATCATATATATATATATGTATGTATGTATATATATATATAGATTGAGGCCGTTGACCTTCCATCGGAGACCGTCGCTGAGGCTTCTGCTTGTTCTCGGCCCAGAGCTCGCCCAGCTGCTCCGAAGGTCCTGCGACCGGGGCCCATGGGATTCGCTGGTCCTTTCGGGGGTTCCTTAAAATAATAATAATAATAATAATAATAATAATAATAGTAATAATAATAATAGTAATAATAGCAATAATAATAATAGTAGTAATAAAAATAATAGTAGTAATAATAACAATAATAGAATTAGTAACAAGGACAATTGAAAATAATAATAATACATTTAATAATATGCAATAATAATAATGAATACTAATAATAATCATAATAATAATAATCAGTAATAAACAGTAATAAACAATAATAAACAATAATAAACAATAATAAACAATAATAAACAATAATAAACAATCATGATAATAATAATAATAACAATAATAATAATAATAAAATAAAAATATAATAATAATAATCAAAACACGCACCCATCCAAAAACCAAACGTAGTCTCCAAAAAGGACACGCCCGAAATGAGGTTATCGTTGGGAGGCCCTAACTGTCTTAAACAAACAGACTATCAGACACTAAACACTAAACGCCGGTTCTTGGCGTCTGAGCGCATCCCCACCTCCAACTCCCAGGCTGTGGCTCTGCTCCGACCTCAGGAAAGCTGTTTGATTGGAGCCGACTTTGCAATCAACTGCCCCAGGGAAGTTCTGGAGCTCTGGAGATTTGGGCCAATCGACAGCCCATGCAGAAAGGAGTGCGTCTCGGTGGCCCCCTCTCCACACGAACAAAAACAAAAAAATGATGCGCTGGCTAACCGGCATCCTCATTCACGGCAGAGAAGTCGAAAATTCAGAACTGCGCAAGGTCACTCAAGTCGAACAACTCCAATCACCCCACACACTGGTGGCATGATTTCAACAAAAAGCCGACAGCCGCCTTTTTCCAGCCGACCAACCTATTCGCGAACCCCCGCCCTCCTAAGCCTTCGGGAAACCAGGCCACTCGGGCTGTGGCCCTTCGCCCTCCGGAAGCGACGAACCTGGCCCCGTCTGGACCCCGCCGGCGTCAACAAAACCTGATTTCACAGGAGTCCCATGTGAAGCAAAAGGGCGGCCACACCTATGCCTGGTAGCTTCATCTGGGTTTTGAGTACTCACTTGGTATCCGCACTAGGCCAAAGCCAGGGCGTGAATGCTACGGGTGAGAAACAATGAACAGAGCAAAAAGGTGTCTGTGCCTGCAAAAAAAAGTCTTCTGGAAAGGCTTGTCAAGCCAATCTGCAACGCTCGGTGGGTGGGCTGGTAGGTACAAATGGCTTCATGGATGGGGCTTGGCAGCCCGCTAGCCATCAATGAACTGCAGCTTGAAACTGTTCAACAACGTTGAATGTGACCAGGTTGTGAGTATCTCCATGTCTGTCCTTCACAGATTCATCCACCTCTTGAAAATACACTGCCTTTGCATGTAGTGCAGGGGAAGCCAACAAAAACTTGTAAAACCGTCGTCTCGTAAGCAACAGTAGCCATGAGTGTCATTGTCGCAATCGGTTCAAGGTCAGTGCCATCATTCCCCTGACCACCCAACCACCCGGCCCACGTGATCGCAGCAATGGTGGGGCATTGTAAACCCGGTTCCTGGCTCACAAGTCCCCCGCCTGCCAGTGCTGCGGTCGAGCCCAGCCTACAACTCGTTCAAATGCTTGGGGCCCAGCTTCAAATAGAACACACGTCAACTCCAGCAGTAAAGACACCCGCGCTGAATATACGCAACAGCTAGTGTTGAATGTGGCCCGATTGACATGGATAGGAAGTAATTTGATGTCACCGACCATGAATTCGGTTGTGTGCATGAAGCCCCCGGTCCCAGGGATTTTGCGAATACCCACGGACAATCCATGCTATGGTCTTGCATGTGTCTGTAGCAGTGGCTTGCCGGACGCTTTGTCATTCACATTGGGGCAAATTAATTTGCACCTGTAGAGACCAGTTGAGGCAGCTGGAAACAGCCGGGAAAAAAAACATCATGCAGTAACTGTCGCAACTCTCATGCAAGAGTACTTGCAACTAGTATGCTCCCTTCTTGTTTCGTGGGAAATTTGGGTTGCCCCCCGCCCCCATGTGCTCACACAAGTGTCTCGCAAAGTAGGAATCAGTCCCCAAAACCAGCCTTGCTTGCAACTTTTCATGTCGTTTCACCAGACTTGAGAGCACCGTCGAAGTTCAGATGGTTGGCTTCCTTGCGGTTTCCTTTTTCAATACCAACCAAACAGGGCGGATTCGAATCCCAAAACTCATGAGACCCGCCCCCCGCGAGGGCCGGGCTGCATGCGCGAGGTGCTCCGCCGCCCGTTGCGCCTGGCCGCCTTGCAACGCCCACGGCACTCCGAGCCCGGGAGACCGAAAGCGGCGCCCGGAACCGGGGAACTCGCCAACGAGTTGCCATGGGAAAAGGACGGCGAATCGAGGCGAATCAAACCAAAGCCCGGTCCAGATGTGTTTTATCCATCGAAGGGTGGCCCTCTTTCATAATCGCCCTCCAAAACAGAACAAACATGTGTGGCAAATGCACCTTCAGAACCTGAATGCGTCAAAGGCATACAGTAGATCAGTGGAACAAATGTCAAGCAATGCACAAAGTGATGACAGCTTCAAGCAGATTGCCCAATGTGACGCACCTCATGCGCCCAGCAAAAACCAATTCATGGCCACCACATGGCAGTGTCGCAACCGCTTCGCGGGAGGTAGAGGCGAAACCGTTGCCTTTCCAACCAATTCTTAGCGATGGTGTTGGAGGTCTCCTTCCCTTTCGCCTGATTTGTAAAGAACATTCTATTGGAAAGGAATTGTTGCTTAAATTCTAATCGAAAGTATGATTACATTCTGTCGTTGTTAAATTCTATCTAAATTCAGTTAGACATTTAGTAGACTTGACAACCAAATTAGGTAGATTTTCAGCACCAAAGAATTCAGAGGAAACAGAGGTTCAACTCCCCAGTCCACGAATTCCTGGTTCTCGCAGCGGATTCTTGGAAACGAACCTAGGCCCTAGAAAGGAAAGTCTCAAGGGATGAGTAGGAGTTCACTTGCCGACCGCTATTGAAGGGCTGCCCGGCCTCTCCAATCAGCAGCCCGTAGCTGTAGCTCCGGCTCTTGGAGGAGAACTCCTGCGCCAACCTTGCAGACAAGCAGCGACCTTTTTCACTTGGGAGTTCCAAGGCGCTGCCTTGGGGGGTGTCTCCAAGAAGCAACCCCAAAATCAGAGGTCTCTCTTCAATCTGAGTAGACCGGGCAGCTTCCAGGGAAGAGACCATCCGAGTCCCATTCAGTCTGGGCCAGGAAGGGCCCATGCTTGCCCCCCCCATGCCGTGTGGCACGCTCCCTGCTTCCTTCCTATGCACTTCACAAATGCCCTGCCAAAAGTGCACCCCTGCACGCGCAAAGCGCCACACATCCTCCCAACTAACATGCTCTTTCACCCGTTCCCTTTTACAGCACGTTTCGGGGACCCGCTGGCGAGGCTTGAGGCCACAGCCAGCGCTGCGAAGACATGTGGATGCCGGTGGGGCTTTCATCGCCTGGGTAGCCCGAGCCAAATCGACGTTGCGGAACAAGTGCTTGTTCGTACAATTCTCGGGTTCAACGCTACCCCCCCAAAACAACGGCTGACCGTAGATTCGAAGAAAAAGCAACTCCTGAGGTAGATGGTGCTTGTAGCAACCCCCGTCGTTTTGGTTGGCTCTAAACTGAACAAGTCACAATGCCCCAAACCGCTGTGGAGAAAAGCGGGGCCCTGACCATCATCCAGCAAGCCATCTGCCTCTGCGTCCAGGAAGGCCTGTGTGGGGCCGTAGGCAACATGCTGCAGCTGGAAACCGATTTTAAAGGACCGGATGGCAACGGGAATGTGGGAACCATCTCTCAGAACACCCGGTGAAACCGCAAGCAGACACTCCAAATCCTTCCCAGGAACAAGCCAATGGCCTCGAGGATCGGCAAACAAACATTGCCCTCCTTGTGGCTTTGCACTTTGACTCGGAAATTGGTGTCGGGCACTTCGACCATGTTTCTCCCAGCCTGCGATATGACTGGACCTTGGAGTTATGTTGTGGCAACTCCACGGCCGCTACCTTGTGCTGTAAGTGCTCCCTTTCCCTCCCCCATATATATATATATATAGTATATTGCAGCTGACAAATCAGATTGCTGCTTAAAATAGCCGGCATCATGGCATCATTGATGGATGCGGCTTTCTGAAGCCTCAGGTTTCACATTGTCGCGTGCGGAGAATCGGCGCCTTGCCTCGATGGTTCCATCCAACATCTCCGTGGCTTGCTGACGGCTGCTGTCGGTGGACGCGTTGCAGAGCTGCTGCCGGAACCTACAAAGCTGTGCGGAAGCATGACAACTCCATGTCGGGCATTTGGCTTTCAGGCTGCTATCATCTGAATACTCTGCATACACGATGGTTGACTGTCAATGGAAAAACACGCATGTTCAGTCAGCGGCCTCTTCATAAAACGACCCAAGGCCGGCACACCACCAGTCGAGCCGTGAATTCCGGCAAGTAGCACGCCTGGAGCGGGACAGCGACGCGAGGCACTCGTCCTTCTTTTCCGGTGAAACCTGTCGATCAGCACCTCACCTCCCCGGCGGCATAGTCCACAAGACTGCTGAAGTAGTCACGAAGAGCATCGAAGTACGTCTCTTTCTTCTCGAGGGTGTAGTTCAAGTACCTGCCACACAAGGGAATGGGCCATAGCTTTTCCTTGAACTCACATCGGTCCAAACCCTTTCCCACAGACCTCGCACGATTCAAGCTGTGCCCGTGAAAGCTGAAGCATGCCTCTGTTTCGATCCTCGGGAGACTTGTTTTTCCATACGTCGCGTCATTCAATTTCAGCGTCTCCAGCTTCTGCTGCAACTTCAGCTCCTTGCGGCTCGCTTCTGCGGCCAGTGGTTGCTACTTTCGCGCCCTCTGGTCCAGTCATCTCAATGTTGAAGTACTCTGGCCACTGAACTAAGGCTTCCAACAGAGTCCGCAAGCCAGCGCCCCGGCGGAGCAGCTGTGTGGAGGCCATTGCGTCGCGGATCTCAGGCAGGCCCGTCAGCGACTGGAAAGTCAAACCTCCCGGACGACTTTGCAAGGCCGCCTCAACGGCATCCAACAGCTGCTCGAACCCATCTTCCGCTAAGCGTCCGCCGCACCAAGAGTTGATCTCAACCAACGCCTTCTTGGTGCTCTCAGGCGTGCCCGCCACGAAAGCCAGCAAATACTCCTCTCCAAAGTAATGATCAGTCTCCGTCTCGCGGGTCAGCGTGATGTTTTGCAGGCCAGCCCCATCTCTAATTTCCTGAATGGTTTGACCCTTTCGTCCCAGGAGGCGCCACCGCTGGTCCAAGGGTAATAGCCACACAAGTCTACAGCTTCCCGGTTCAAGCTCTTGCTCCTTCAGCACCTCCCTCATTGGCAGCACACGTGGCTTCTTCTGCTTCCATGTCACATCCCCGATCTTATAGTCATTGGCAAGGTGGGCTGGCGTCCACTCCGCGGGTTTAGACTCTCCGCACTTGGGGCACCTCTTGCGTCGGGCAAAGCACACATTGCGGCAATCCCGGCTTGGGCACAACCAGTCATCCAGCTGAAGACGAGGCGGCATTTTGCAGTTTGACTTGGCGGCAAATGCAAGCGGATCATCGTTGATGTCATTCACAACGGCACGCACTGCATTGGAAGCATCTTCGAAGGATGAGCGATTGTTAAATGGTGGATACAGAGTCAGCTCAAACTGCGCATGCCCGTTGCTGTAGGCCATCTGCACGATTGGGCGATGACCATGTTTCCTATCATCATGCCCAAGAGAAGTGCAAACAATTTGCAGAACATCCTTCATGGTAGACCCATTCTCCCCCAACGCTCTCCCCACATCCTTCTCTTGTATGGAACAATTGGGTATGGTTGCTCGATATGGTTGCCCTTGTTCATGCTGGCTGGTGCGAATCACCGACTGCAAGAAGCTCTGCAGCCTGGCTTCCACATTTCCATCTTTTGAGCGAGTTGGGTCAAACTTCATCATCACAACTCGCAGGGCATCTTGCGGAGCTGTTTCTATCAATCTCATCAACCTGGAGCGTGGTTTCAGCGAAAGCTGCGACGTCCAAATGTCGCGAACAATTTTGAAGATACGATCGAAGGACAAACCCTCCTCCCAATCTGAGCGACAACTGGAGATGACCTCGTCCTTCACGTTCTCAGGAATGCCCGACAAGAGCGTAATCGATGCATCATCCAGCTTGCAGCGCTTGATAAAATCATCTGCAGCTTTGTCGAAGGGCCTCCCTTCCTTCTGCCAATTCCATGACATGAATGGTCAACTTTCTGAATCGATGCAAACGAATGAAGCCGCAAAAAGGCAGTATCTTGGTGGTCAAATGGTTCTGTCATGGCATGTGTCAAAAATAGGGACCTCTCCACACGGCGGATTTCATGTCGATTTCCGTTTCAAACCGTCCGAAAAAGGTTTGCCAGCTTTTGACGAAACAAATCCATCGAATATACCTGCCAACTGAACAGAATATCAAAGGCAGGAGCCAAAATGCTGCGATGAGGCGGTCAATCAATGCCACCTCTCCCCTCTTTTGCATGGAGTTCCAGCTGCTAGCTTCAGCCGCAGCAAAAAGTGTGACTGGCGACCCTCCCCCCCTTTTGCAGGACCTTCTATCAGCCAGGTTCCGAAACGTGCCTGTGCTGTCGGGCCTTTTCTTCGCAGCCCACCAGAAACGCCGCACTGATGCGATTGAAACGGCCAAGTGGCTGGCTCAGAGTTGGGAGCTACGGCATAAAGGCACCGAAATTTGTACAAGCGGGACACTTTGTTCACCCTGACTCACCCTCACACATGCAACTGGCTGCGACCTCAGCAGACGGACCTCAGACCTCCGGTCTGTTCGAGTCTTCTCCCTTTTGGCTGTACGGCTGCGTCTCTTGCGTGGCAAAGAAACTCGATGCGAAAGACTCTCTGCGCAAGTGGAACCGCAACGATCTGAGCCGCCAACTGTGGTCCAATCGAACCTGGCAGGAAGTTGGCTGCATCCGAGGCTGGCATCAAGCCACAAGCGGTGGCCATGGCACTTTTATGACTCGACCACTGTCACTGGGCATGCCACCACCCTCCACGAGAGTCACAGGGTAACAAACACCGCGTATTTCTTTTCTTTCTTTTAACAAGCTCAGGTGATACCCCCAACAGCATGCGGTGCTCTTTTTAGTGCTCGCACCACCCCGCAGCCCTCGCAGAACCTCGTGGAGCCCTGGTGGAACCCTGGTGGAACCCTGGTGGAACCCTGGTGGAACCCTGGTGGAACCTTACCTCAGGGCCGCCCCGGACCACCCCGGAGCCTATCTGGGCTGAGACCCCAAAGCTTTCAGCTGTTGGGGAGAAAGAGCGCGATCGAGTTTCTCAGGCACCGCCACCAACATCACGACATCACGCAATGACACGGCAAGATCCAATGAACTCTCTTGCCTTGGATGGGAGAAAGGATGCGCGATTTGGTCACCCTCTTCCTCGTGCCTGGCAAAAACCACCCATCGCGGGTAGCTGTGAGTCTGAGAGTCATCGAACACGGAGCCCTTTCAGTGGGCTTGCAGCTGTAAGGCGCTGGTGCTCCGTTTCTTTGCAAACACCAAAGGCCACAGCCACATATCCCCGACCTCATGGCCGTTCTTTTTCCTTCCGACGCAAAACAGCTGCGAAAAGGGTGTCTCCACTGCAAACAGCGGATAGGACAGCTGGTTGTCCCTTTCCCTTCAACTCAAAACCCACAAGGGCACCAACCCGAAGAACCCCTCGAAAGGGCTAAATTCTGGAACACACAGCCTTCGCTTCCTTCCGGTCGACTGAGCCCTGCACACCAGCGCCCCCGCGTGCGTCATCGCCGCTCGGAGGAACTCGTACTGCGCCGCGCGGCAGCGGATGCTGGTGACCTGCGGACGCTTTAAAGTTTCATCCATCTAAGATTCTGTCCAGAGAAATCAAAAGGAAAATCCTCATTGTGTTGGCTCCCTATTTTGACATACATACCCCTTTGCCCATGGAATTCATAGGCTCCCTCCCAAACGGAGAATCATCTTCCGAACGGGATCTGTGCCAACCAAGTTGGCGGGAGGGTAATTCGCATGCATTACCAAGTGGGGGTGCCTCAATGCGCACGACCCCCGCAAAAGAGCATTGAGGAAAAAACACCAATCCAGTGCGCACGCCCATGCCATTGGGGAGCTTTCTGAACCCGTCGTGCTGTGAACAGAGATTGCCTTCACGATCTCGCGACTCTGTTTGCTCTTTTAGTTTTTGTGTTTTTGCGTCCATTCAAATCCTCTGGCTCAACTTTTCGTGTTGCGGAAGTTTCCTAACTAAACATTCTTTGATCCTCCATTGCTGGATCAAACCCAAGGCAAGGTTTATGGAGGGGCTGAGCTGTCCGCTTTGTTGGATGAGAAATCTCATCTAGTGATATTGAGGGGAAACCAACTTTCTCGCCCACTCTCAAGCCAGAATGTGTGTATTTCCTTCTGACTGCTTCTCAGTCAACCATCCCTCAACAAGTCATGTTCGCTTTACAAGTGTGAAAATCCTATTTTCCGGGCTTGCAAAAGGCATCTTGCCACTACTGCAACTCCCAAGAAACCAAATAACACGGACCCCAAATCAATAAACCCTTCATATTAATTGGGGTGCTCTCCTCCAAAAGTGATGAATCCCTACTCAAAGGGGACACCATTCCCAGTAGTAGACACGACGGCCACAAAGTCAACGCCGCCTCCACGCGCACACCGGCGTGGATCAGCGCGCGAGCCAGGTCGATGAAGGGCACATCGTTGGTGGCGGCCGAGTGCCGAAGCCTCCAGCTGGCTGAGTCTCGTTGAAACTTCTTGAGACGGGAAAGTAAGCCATACTCACCTGGATGTGGGTCAAAAATAGGTACCCAAAACGGAACCCTGGTAACAAAGACCAAAACCTGCGGTCCCCTGGTGGTTTAATTGACCCATACTCACCTGAAAACTCGCGATGTCCAGAAGTCGGCTCTCCAATCAAAAGACTCCAGCAGCTTGTTTGCTGTGCACGACTCTGCAGTGACTGGCGGCACTCAAACACCCGGGCTGAGCATCGCGCGACAGCTCCAGCTGAAGGACCTTATATATTTGCAGCCTAGACCAATCCAAAAGCATCCATGACATCGCCTGTGGGACACAATTGAACGACACCGAGAGACAGTGCCACCAGAACACCACCGGACGCTAAACACTACCAGGACACCACCAAAACACAAGCGGGACACCGAGACACCACCGGACAGTGAGACACCACCAGAAAGTGGCAGCGCGACACCGCCGAAAGAGCACCTGAACACCACCAAAACACCAAAGCACCAAAGCACCAATGCTGGGACACCACCGGGACACCAATGGGCAAACACTGAGTCACAACCAAAATGCAAGCAGGCAACACACAAGGGACACCACCACCAAAGCACCAAAACACTACCGGCACACCACCAAAACACCACACCACCGTGACACTGGAGGCACCACGCAGCCAAACATGGGACATCACTGGGAAACTACCGCCAACGGGACCCGCAGGAACGTTGCAAACACCACCGGGGCACCACCAGGCACCAACGGACACCACCAAAACACTGGAAGCACACCAATCTTGAACAAATGCACTCAGCA